GTGTTAATTACCTTTGCAGCCCCAGCAACTGCAGTTCTATAGTATCCCAAACAACAGATTAATTTTCAAATTTGTGGTGTCCTTAGTGTTGGGTAGATGAGGTATCCAACAGACTGAGTTAATCATGTCTGGTTTGATCACCAGGACAGCTGATATACAGGAGATGTAGAGGGGACCCTGTCAGCATGTGTCGGAAATCAAAGATTAAAAAAAATATTGGATAAACCCATGAAATTGACACAAAGGAATAGTAGAAATGTAAGGATGTCTGATTTCAGGAAACCGTTTTTGATGCCATTGAAATTGTATTCAATGACAATTCAATTCAGATGACAAGAAGTTGATAGTAAAATTTTTATTATTTTTAGATGATAAAAAGCACACAAGACTTGAATAAACATTCCAGTGTATAGGCCTAATGTCACAAGATAGCATATATCTTATTTTAATTAAACAGGGGAATTTTTCAGGCCCAGTTCCCATGACTATAATCACAACAGTGTGATTACCTTTGTCAGAGATTCCTGTATTTCTGATGTCTGCAATTACAGGTAATTTTCAATCACAGGGAAGGGCAGAGGACACAGGCTGTTAATTAATGGTACAGAATAGTTCTGTGGAATGTCGCGGAGATTCCCTTACTTCTATCGACCTGACTTGATTAATCAGGTTGCCGATTTCCACATGCTTATTAAGTAGGTTTTTTTTACGGTGTTAATTGATCTGTTCTATGTTTAGTATGATCGCCAGTACAGCACTAATAAATTCATGAATACAGGTCTCTAATTTATATATTTATATATTAAGCTGTTTTCCCTACAAAGAAATTGATGAATCATTCATTTAGCAGTAAACATGATAAGATTCCAATCCATTCTTGGATCTGTAATTAATTTACTTCTGTACTTTGTGTAAGTTGTGTTCAATTAGCCTGAATGTTAATTGAATAAACTTTTAATCAGAATTAGAGTTCCGTGAGAAAACCTGACATGGTGTCAGGTGTGTATAGTTATGGATAGTGGACTGGACGTTGTTGATTAGTAAAAACAGGATAACTCACGTTGCCTGTTCATATTATAGTAAGTAGTTGCCATTTTTAGTCCCACTGTATATCATATGTTTATTGATTTCCATGTATATACCATCACATCTAGTTCCACTAATGAAAATATATATTACTTAATTTTCTACTGATAGGTATATATAGACGTGCTGATGAAATTTTATGTACATAATGATCTAATTTCATTGCCTTGATGGTAGTGATGGTAATTAATAAAGATTCAATTATGTTCCTCGCAAGAAACACACAAATAACCATCTCAGTCAAGTTTTGTTTGTCATCTCTTCATTTCTGATTTTTATTTTGCATTTATGTGAAACCCCCCAAAAAAATGGTTAACAGTCAATATTTTGAATACATAATTTCATAAACAAATATTTGTGAAACTTTGATACTGATCAAAACATTTTTCACATGTATTTTACAACAATTGGGAAACAAGATATTTCTACTTTTATTGTTAACTTGGATGGAAGAGCAGGGTGGGGGGGTGTAACTGTGGGAGGAAACTGGAGTACCCGGCAAAAATCCAAATGGGCGGGCAGGTGACTCCATACTTTTGAACATTTGATAAGGAAATCAAACCCTAGGGGTTACAAATGAGACAAGTGTGTTACCACTGTGCCTCCTGACCACCAAGTCAAAAACTGATAGGGATACCCCTAGCTTAGTAGTTTGTAGTTATCATATTCTAACTTGTGCATGTTGAAAGCAAATTTAGAACACAGAAGATCTTACTCTCATAACAACTACTGAAGACTTTCTACTAGTTCACGGAATTCAATCAAACATACCTCAGTTTTAGTTAGATTGTATTTCTAACATTGACTTTTTCTGAAAAATTAGAGAAGTCTTATAATATCAGAATGACTGTCAGAGACTTGCAATTAAAAAAATGTTTTACAATGAATGCTTTAAATATCAGTGATACTTCAATCTGATATGTCAAAAAACATCTTTATGCATTGCTTAGAAATTCAATAAAAATAAAGGAATGATGTTGTCCTGTGTCCTTATTACAAGGATCCTTGTTTGAGGCTTGTAACTTTTGTATCAAAGTATGTATTAATTAGAATTCTTTTACAACTTTTTAAACTTTGTATTATTAAATGGAATAATTCAAATGTTAATCAATGATAATAATCTGTATTCTGACTATAGATTTTTATGTTTGGTATTATGTCTAAATTTTGAATAAATCACCGCAAAATCTTGAATCTAAAACAGTCTTAATATTGTAATAATTATGATTCTGCTGCTGGCTACAGATGGTAAAGATACAGATCTCTCTAACCTAACTACCAATGAAAAAATGGAAGGAGCTTTAAAGGCTGTGATATTAGTTTATGGTTAAATTTATAACAGGAGAATATCCCAAGTTTGCCTGATGTTGTAGAGATGAGCGGGGTTATCAGTTCTTACCATCCAGCAGAAAATTGTTTGATACAGCATTAATTATCTCGGGTAGAGATTAGTATCCTAATGTCTCCGGCATCAGCTGATTACAACTATTACATTAGTGTATCACACAGATATTGTGAGAAATATTGCATTAGTGTATCACAGTGGAGCATTGTTGTGTTAATGGGAGAGTTTGTATTGGAGAATCCCCTCCCCCTCCTCCCCTTTCTCATTCACTTTATAGACAGCTGATCACCATCTCTGTCATTTATCTCACACACAGTGGAATACCCACCGCACACATATATACACCATCGAGCTCTTCATGGCATTCACGTGAAACCTGCCTCCTACTAAAATATTGCTATTGTCATAGGCACACTACTCGCAGTCAAGACTCCAAGTCAGGTGAGTACTGAGAGGAGCAGTAAGCTTGCTGGTTTCTTGTCTGAAATATGGTTTTTGTTACAGGCATATTTGTCTCATATAACATTCTATATGTCACATCCTTTTTAAGAATCAAGCTGTTCTCATATTTTTGGATAGTCTGGTCACATTTTTCCCATCAAAAGGCAATATGGTATTGTCACATCTTAGAAACTCACGACACACAGTTGGTCAGCACAAGAACAATTGAAGATCTTTCAGCAACATTTTGTAGACAACTTTTGATATATATTCCTAAACATTTATTTCAACTTTTTGTAAAAAGTTTAAGACATTATTAAATTTACATGATCACAAAAAAATTATCTCTTTAGTAGATCAAGATAGTTTTGTTTCTTAGATTGCACATATGGAAAAAATGAAGGGAGATAACTCTTTATACAAAATACATATACCATGTTTGAAGTGGTTCATACACCCTTAAACTGTTTGTTATGAGATAATTATGTAAATTGATTAGAATGTTTTCCATCACATCGATTATTGTCATTTATGTCAATCCAAACTATGTTCTACAAAATTTGTGTCCAAATGTTTCAATATAAGCTAACAGGAAATCGTTTACTTATAATTGGATTTATATTTGGTACTGCTATATTGATACCATGCTACTCACCACCGGCAATGGCCGACAGCAGCGTTTCACAATAGTGACATTGACAGAGGGACAATGTCATTATTTGTGCTACTGTTATGAATGATTAAATGATTAATGGTTGATTCAGGAGGCCGATACATGAACTTAGATGAAGGTGATACCAAGTCCAACATCCATGTTGTTTTCCTGACTCTAATCAATTAAAATGGACCCTAATCCGTCTCTCCACATTAAAGATTTACATTCTGTATCCTTTATCTTTTTCATAATAGTTCATGACTTCATTTCCTTTGGTTAAATGTGTTTTGTTAAATAGGCATGTACATTAACATACACAATACAATAAGGGGATATTCTAGTGAGGACAGCTTACCTTTATTAGCTCACTGTTATAACAAAGGAAGAAAGAATCAGCTATATGCCTTATGTTGTAAAATAAAGAATTTAGATGGTGAAGATTATTCTAGGACCAAAGTATTAAATCTTTAAGTAAATTTTTGTAATAATATAAATGATAACCCTTATCCTTTGAGTTGCAGTGAAAAATTATAGGCTTTACTTAGTCCAAATTTTTCCAGGGTATTTTTTCTCTACAGTTTCTATAGTGTATTTCCGTATAGCTTAGTGTTAGTATCAAACTGTAAAGCTGTTATCTACTTGATCAGAGTTAAAACTGTGTGATATTTTATCTACATATTTATTTTCCTATCAGAGTCTTAGGAACAGATTTCCTCCGCGTGAAATAGGTTAATGATGATTAGGTAATTAGTGACTGTAATCATTACACCAAGTTACTGTTGTGTTGTTTAGCATCTCTACATAATTAGTTACAGATTAGTTCTTCATCTGTATTTTAATTCAACTTACATACAGTTACCCATGATTCTTTCCTATAGCTAAAACACGCAAATAATCACAATACTTCTTAAAATCTGAATTTAAAATTACAGTGAATTTCAACTAAATTAATTGAATTTTAATTATTTGTCAGAAGAAAACAATAGATAAGCAAAATGCAACTCAGATGTGAACTTTCTCAAAATGCCCTTGTGCAATGAGATGTCCACAAAAACGGATATTTACATGCAGAATTATGTAAAATTATAAACATAAAGGTTAATCTTTCAGCTTTTGTGATACGTCATAGTAACCGTTGGTTATTAATACCAGATTACAACATCTTGAATCCCTTTATCAGATTTCTGTGTTATACCTTATCTACAGTGCCTAATGATGAAACTTCTAATTTACCTGTCAGCATCACATACCAGACTGCCTGCTAGAATTATAAGTATGATATTCATTTCTCTCCTAAACCTGCCTATTAATTGTAAATTTTTGTCAGATTTTATGAAAAAACATACCCGGTAACTGTGAGGTAAAAGTGGTGTCTAATTTGTTACGTTTCAGTATTTTGTTCAGTGCCATGTAACCTGATAGTTGTAATGGTGACCCGAGTACTTATTGTTTTCACACCTTCTGTCTTTGCAGGACCAATGCAGATTTCTCAGGAGCCAGCCAATATGGCGGCGAAGCAGGAGTGCGCTGGATGTAAGAAGGAGATCGGGGATCGCTTTATGCTTAAGGCTCTAGAACAGTTCTGGCACGAGGACTGCCTCAAATGTTCCTGTTGTGACTGTCGCTTAGGCGAGGTCGGATCTACTCTCTTCACAAAGGCAAACCTCCTCCTATGTCGTAGAGACTATCTCAGGTAAACATCCAAAAATTTTCAATTCTATCAATTGTTTTTTTACAATTTTTTGTGTTCGGAGGATCTGGCCCAACTGCAGGCTAGAGAAGGCTCAATAGGGTGAATGAAACATATCTTTGAAGACCTTTGCTTTCAGTTCAAATACAGGAATTTAAAGTAAATTTGTTCTCCAGCATCTTTGGATGAACTAAGGACAGGTCACTGAGATAGGTCTGCTCTGTTTAGGTGACAAGGCAGCAAGAGACCGTCCATGCAGTTTACCACTTTATAGTTATACTATCTGAACTTGTCACTTTTATGACGAAGTTGTCTCAAATTTTTTTTATTTTTTTCCTCCATGAAAGAAGTAGTTTCTTGATCTAGGATGATATTCATACAAGTCTATGTATGTGATTACGATCTGTATATGTCAAATGTTCTTTGGCAGATGATATTTGTTTGGAGGCTTTTGATTGGTCAAACTCCTCGACTGACCAGGATGTAATGGCCGATTATATGCAGATAACATAAAACAATTCACACTTAAAATCCATTAGACCTTTAAATGGCCGATAAATAAAACATCCAAGCTTATTCTGTAACATGAGAAAAACATGCAGAGTCTGTCATTAGATCTAAAAGGTATGTTAGAACTTGCACGGATGCTAGGTACAAACACAATCAACTGTGATATTTCAGTGCTTCTTAATGCGATTGTTCTCATGGGACGATTAGGCAAAGGCATTACTTCTCAGGAATGAGTTAAAAAATAAAATGTATTCTTTTTACCATTTTGTCAAAATAACTGCAGTGCATTTTCAGCCATCGTTATTGATCTTTTCAGGATTACAAATATATTTCTTATCCATTAAGCTGTTAAGGTTTTAGGAAACTGGAGTTTACAATGTGTGAGTAATTGATTTGTTGAACATTTATGCCTGTTGGTAATGGTGAACCTGTGCACTGTGACAAGCAGTACTCTGTCATTTGTGTAAGTGTTTGACTGGAGCTACACTGTAGTAATATCCTGTATACACTATCAAAATACATTATTACCAATTATCAGATCAGTTTCCAAACCTAATGATTAAAACATGTATAACAAAACAGCATTAGCTTTCATCGAGGACTGCATGTTGAATTAAACATATGTGAAAACAGTGCATTAGTGGAGCATTTAAACAAAAATATTAACAATGTGTGAAAGATTGTAATACAAATACAAGTTGCTTTACAAAATATTATAATGCTTAGCCAGGAATGTGATAAAGTGCTTTGTTTGTTTAAAGGGGAGATTTTCATAGATCATATTTATCCTGTAGTAAACACAGGGACTTCAAATTCAGAGTTTGGAGAGTTGGGGGGAGCGAGACATACTACTGGGCAAACAAGTAGCATTTGTTTGAGATTTTTTGTCAGATGAATATTGTACCGTACACAAAGAAATTAACTCCCTGGTATAAAGATGGATTGTTAATGGTTAGGTCACTTACCATACGTAACATAATTAACGGCTTGGTATAAAGTTAGGATTATTAATGGTCAAATAAATTACCATACACAACATAATTAACTCCCTGGTATAAAGTTGCTTATGAAACCAACTGTGCATAATATCAATGAATCTCAAATGCTACAATGCCTTCAATGAAGTTCTTAAAGAAAAAGGTATACTATAATAGATTGATTACAAAGAAGGACGGTTAAAATCATTTAAGTGAAATTTAACAGATGGATGTTTATCATTTTACTGTTATGCTGTAGTTAAGCTCAAAAATTCTTAAAAATTATCGTAAGAATCAAAAAAGAGCAGGGCAGTAATTATGTAGAGTACAGTATATTTATCTTAGCAGGGGGTGACAGATGAGGGAGTTGTAAGGGGTATAGCCTTGTGTTACTCTCATAAATGTCAAAGCTTGGTTAAACAGGGTGGGGTGACATTACATCAATGTGTAATAGAGATATGTTGAGTGTTATAGAACAACCTTGACAGGATTTAATCCTATTTACATGACATGGCTTACAAATTCACACTTCCTTTAATTTTCAACAGATGTGGTCTATTTGTGGAGGAATTCTCCACAGTGTAAAGATACAATCTAATTTTTTCTTTGTTTGACAAACTTTCATTTGACCTAAACTTGTGGAGTTATTTCCCTTCCGTTGCAAGGTATTTACCAATGGCTACTTACCCCAGGTAACTTGATTGCTTTAATCCAATTTCTTTACAAAAAGACCAAGCCCTTTATTTTTTTACTAATTATTAATTGATGGGGGTAAAATACATTTCCTTAAATTCTTGAAAAATATTGTACAATATGTTATGACCAGTGTTTATTTATCACATTAGTGGCCATAACTGTCATACAGCCATGTAATAAATATCCATTATCATACTGTATAATAACAATATTGTGATGTCATTAAATAAGCCATGTGCTGGTGAAACCATATGATTGTTTCAAAACTGAAAATATATTGTCAGCATCAAAATAGGTCTACCATATTGGGAAATTTGTTAAAAATACTTGTTATATGATCAATAGAATCTTAAACTTGTACTGATGTAATATCGACTTTATTGAACAAGTTAAATAAATTGATATTTGACTTAACTGAAGACTCATTACATATCAAGTTATTGAACTTGTTTGATAAAAATTCTGGAGACACTCATATCAATGTACTATGATTATACATGTATAACAATATATTCTAAGTTGAGAAGTAAAGCCTGATCACATGATATATTTTATATATTATTTATCTTTGCCATTTTCATTTCAAAAGATTTGCTAGGTTATCTGAAGCTCTATAGAACTTACACATTGAGAATATTACATAGATAGTTCTAATGTTTCAGCAAAAAAATATTGTAGCACAATAGACAAAATGTACATACAAAAAATAATAAATTGAAGTGAAAATGGTAAAACATTTATTATTGATATCCAAATTTATCTTAAATCCCCCATCAGAAACTGGAGGTACTATAATTTTGTGTTGTGGCGGTTCCGCTATCTTGTCTGGGCCTTATCTTCTGCACTGCTTATCACAGGAACTTTATGTACTTGTTATATAACTTTAATGTGGTGAGACAGTGTTTCATGTATCAAGAGTAAGTCACTCTGACCTACATTTTAGCATATGACCTACATAAAAAAAGGGTTGTCTGGGTCCCTTTTTCTCCATTACTTAACACAGGAACTTTATACTTGGGATATGGATTCACCTTGGTCATGTATCAAAAGTCTGACCTATATTTTAACCTTTGACCTAAATCAAAGAAGAAGGTTGTCTGAGATGGTATGTTGCATATTAAAAGTAGGTCACTTTGACCTACACAAAAGAAAAGGTTTGATGAGACTTTATTTCATATATCATTTTTTACTGGAACTTCATATTTATAATGAAAGCAATATAAACTGGTCACTTACAGCAAGCATATATGATAAGTAACTCAGATTTGATGCCAAATATATGGAAACATTTCTTTTATATATTTCAGATTATTTGGTACAACAGGCTACTGCTCTGCATGTTCCAAAATGATCCCAGCATTTGAGATGGTAATGAGGGCCAAAAGTAATGTTTATCATCTGGAGTGCTTCGCTTGCCAACAATGCAATCACAGGTAGAACTCACAAATTAAACACAGGTGTTAAATTAAACAAATATACTAAAAGGTAGGAGGGGAAAATGTGTTAAGTGTTGTATAAAAGAGTTAAATGTTTTCAGACTTCAAAAACTCTTTATAAATGTAATAGAGTTAAGAAGAAAGAAAAGGTAAACTAAATGTTTTACTTTGCAGTACGAAATTCTCCTTTTATCAAGGGTTTTATGGCAATTTCTTACAGGAAATTTAAAAACATATGGAAAATACAAATATATGTATAAAAAGAATATGTGACGAGCCAGAGAATTTGTGGGGTATAGGAGGTTTTGACTGCTCAAGGATTTCTATTTAAGGAAAAAACATGTTTCTGAACTGATTAATCTATTATGAAATGGGTTAAATTTGACAGATAATTACGGGTATTTCAGAGTACAAACTATATGGTGTATATTGCCTGTCAAGACTCTGTAGACGCTTGAAGAAGACATATATTTGTAGAGCAGGAGACGTGAAAATTACTTGTCAATCGGTGTAGTAACGGAAACACATACAAGTAATTTCATGCCTGTTATACAAGTGACCATTGTGTAGGATTTATGGCCTGATTGTCTGTGTTGATGATAAGTGGGCCTCGGAGACTGGACCCTGGGCAACGTTATGTAATTATGGAACAAAAGTGGAGGTGTCATCAGCCTACAATATCATTAGCTTTTGTTCGTAGTCACTCAATCGCAACTCAGTGTTCAGTCTATAGTATTAAGGTTTTCATAACCACACAATCTCGTTATCTGGTATGTATGTGTGTGCTCTGAGGAGAGCTGTCAGCACTTTCTAAAAACATCCATATTCCCAAAACTCTTTTATTAATGTCATAGGATCAGTGATTTTTTGACAAGCTTCTTCAAGAGCTTGACTCCTGGATCACCTGCTTGTTAGGGCGTCTGAGTGACCATTTCTATGGTAAGGTTTTGTCTGATGTAAATAATCACATATACTGTCTCATTGAATAAACAACAGACTGTTGATGATGAATATAGGGTCAGAACACCTCACACAATGTCATTAGTAAAGGTCAGTGTGAAGGCTGTTACGAGGTCAGCATCGCTCTGTTCAGTGACAGACAAAACAGGATGTAAACCTGAAGGGTCAACATAGTTGTCAGAGGTCAATAAGGAAGGTCAAAACAGGGGCCTGAGATTGTAAGGTCAGAGAGGATGGTTAGATTAAAGGATCAAATCAAGAACTGAATCATGGGTCATTGTAGCTTGTCGTGATATATTTAGCACTCAACTCGTGAATTCAAACTCATCAGTCTGTCTTCTTTCTAGTTCTTATTTACATATCGTGAACACAATGGTACCCATAGACAGAGCAAGTGACTCTTATTAAGGGATTATGAGCTTAGAGAAATTTCAGATGGTATAGTGATGAAATATCATTACCAATAAAATCTTGTGTTTACAGTATTTGAATTTTCTTATTCTAGTTTTTATGATGATGACAATTTTAACATGCGATTTTACTGTATAAGTTATATACCCACTGGGTACCTTAATGTCAGAAACCATTTTCATGACTTTTATTTTTTCTAAGCACATTAATTTCTGTTTGATAAATGTCTCTGTCAGTTTTGTAATTGATGTAGCTCCCAATACAGTGACTTGATTGGTTGTGACAGTATTTCATAACACACAATCTCTTTATACGTCTCCTTGGAGGCGATACAGAGCACAACATTTACTGAAAGGTCACATCTCTAATACAGAGCAATTACACTATAAAGTATCCCGGATTCTGTACATGCTTTGTTTAATGTTTCTGAAAAAAGGTTTTATCATTGAATGTTTGTTATATCCAAAACAGCATCACTAGTGAGCAAGATAGATAAGTGTTACATACAGGTCATCATTGTAGGCATTGACATGCTTTCATGTCAACTGACATTTCATTGAGTTTAATAACCCAAAGTCAGTGTTTGTCAAGAGATATTTTATGGGTTCAAACCAGAGTTGGTTTGTCAATTGTCATCTCCTTTGTTAATGAAGAGCTAATTTGTCAAGAGATATTTCACAGGTTTAACTCAGAGTCAGTTTGTCAAGAGATATTTCATGGGTTCAACTCAGAGTCAATTTGTCACGAGATGTTTCATGGGTTCAACTCAGAGTCAATTTGTCAAGAGATATTTCATGGTTTCAACTCAATAGTCAGTTTGTCAAGAGATATTTCATGGTTTCAACTCAAGAGTCAATTTGTCAAGAGATATTTCACAGGTTTAACTCAGAGTCAGTTTGTCAAGTGATATTTCATGGCAAAGTAAAATATTGATTGATTAAACAAAACAGATAACAAATTTAGTCCAGAAAACTTTTTTGTTTCAATGAAGTGGTTTTATTTCGAAGTGCGAAGACATACTGGCCAGTACTTTGCATTGTATAAGCTGAAGCATTGATGAAGAAGCTAGTGTAAAGAGGGGTCAGTACAATAAGTTCCTAGTATAGTGTAGGTTAGGACCTTCTTAATACAAAAAGATACTTTTGATGAATTAATAAGGACAATGGAAATTGGTTGGTGTTGGCCTATGTAACCATAAGTGAAGATCCAAGGTGCATAGTTCAATGCTCCTTTCCCATGGCGGTTTGTGTTTCTTAGGAAGCAGAGCAATGGACCTGTGTGTGCTGAGGAGGTTATGTCCTTGGGCAAGATACTTAACCCTAATTGCTTAGAACGGCAGGTAGCGTGCCTCCCATATGTTGTTCAGTGAGGCACCCACCAGCTACTATGAGGAGGCTTCACCTCAGAATGACTCTGACTGTTTACAGGGTGATAAGCCCAGCAGAATAAAGATTTAACCAGCATGAAATCATGATGAAGAATTAACCCTGTGATCTAAACTGATGCTATTTCCATTCATTGTGAACTAATTCATATCTTTTTTCTTTGTTTACAGGTTCTGTGTAGGAGACAAGTTCTACCTGTGTGAAAACAAAATACTGTGTGAATATGACTATGAAGAAAGAATGTTGTTTGCTAATATGTCGTATAACTACAGTGCTTTGTCACAGATTAAGAGACAGACACAGAGCTTAAGTGACGATCTCTCGAGCGGTTATGGCAGCCCCAGTCCTAGCTCCTTGTAAGCTATCCCTCATACAATTCTATTTTGTTGTGGTATGGACCATGTACAGTATTTCCTATCAGGTTCAAATGGTTTTTTTGATGCCATGAAAATTATGGGTTGCCATGGAGACTCTTGTTATTACTGATGTGATGTGGATGAATGAATGACCTTATGGTCTAGGTCAAACATTCGACTGGAGATAAATGGATTTCCTGGGAATTGCTCGCTTGTTGAAAATCATTTAAATGAGTTGGTTGAGAAAGTAATGATCTTCATTACCATGGTTATGAGTTGTTTCTATGACAACAGATCTGTGGATGGAGCTATCACCATGTTGTCACAAAGACAAGTTGTTTTCCATAGTTTCAGATCTATGGATGACATTGTTGCCATGGAGATGAGTAGTTACCAGGATGTCTTTTAACTGTTGGAAAGCTGACATCTGGTTTTTGATATCTCGGTTGAAGAACGTTTTGTTACAGGAAATAACTATGTTTCCGTGAAACAGATCCACATCCTCTGGATAGGAGCCCCAGGATGAAAGCATTCCAAACATTATTTGTATGGGTGTGTGGAGATGTATGTGATATCTTTTTTCCTTTTTTTTTTTATTTTTATTATCATAATTTTCTTCTAGTTTTTTTTTTATGCACTATTTCCGGTTCATTCTTGTTGAAAATGTTGTGCTTGGAAGTCAATCAAAAACATTTCAGCTGTGATTGGTTGTTTTATGTCACATGTTGAGCTCACAGAGGAATTCAATATTCAGGGGAATAATGTACTTAAATACAATTTGAATCAAGAATAATCTTCTTGTGCTTTAGAAATAATTCACAAAAATCTAAATATGTTTATATATTGGTCTTTTTCTTTTTCATAAACATATTTCTCTTCAATGATACTTTTTTTTGGCAAATGTATAATAATTATTTTACAATAATCATTGTAACAAACATAAGAAATATTCTCAAAAAGGTTGATACACAGATATGAAGATAGAGAAATGAACATTACAGTAATGGGAAATCATTGTCAAATTATATGTCACGTTTTAGCTACCACAGACTTATCATGCTTGGATTCTTTATTCTGAATAACAATAATAAAGATAATTTTCATAAAGAAAATGAAGACAAAAATATTCCTCCTTAGAGAAAAGACAGATTTCAAAGAAAATTATTGATATGCTTGAAATGATATAGTAATAGATTTATGTATATGTGTTTGCTGAGCTTTTTTCATAAGGAAGTATAGGAAATGGAAGTTTGGTAAGAAATTCATTTTTTTCTTTAATCATTATGGTTAAATGCATTTTAACAAAAGAGAATCGTTAATGTGTATGTTTATCATTTGTATGATGTTATCAACATTTAATTTATCTGATAGCATATACCTCCTTAACCTCAAAATTGATACAAAAAGATTGAAAAAAATGTTCTCAAAGTGTTTCTTCCAATTCTTCTTTTAACATTCTAAAAGAATTTGCTATGGTACACTGAAAAAGATAATCCAGTTTTGAAGAATTTCTGAAGTACAGAAAATTTTATTTATAATGTATAAGATGTTATTGAAGTGGATATGAAAATGTCTTTGAAAATTTTTGTCTACATTAATATATACTTTATTTGTTCTGTCTGTTTTGTTTTGTCAGTAAAGTATTAAACGGATTTGTTTAAAGACGTTAATATATCTAAAAAAAATATGTAAATTTATGTGTGATGTTGAAATGAATATTGACAGATTTCTGCAGGTGATAAGAATTTGAAAAAAAAAGTTCTGCCTGTGGCAGTTATGGGCCTGTGTCACAACATTGATATTGTGATAAACTACATTACACACAATACAAATACATTGGGTTATTCATTTTTGACAGACAATATTCATTATCTTCAAATAGCATTCATATTGGCTATAAATGCAATAAACAGACTTAATCTGTTTTGGTTGTTGGCCAATCCAACATGCTGGTCAACAAACAACACAGAGAGTTAACACTATGATAATGAAATGAATAAGATATTGACTAATGAAGTGCATTTGGTTGTCACAGAGATGAATTCAGCAAATTCTGATGTGCTCTATATTGCATTTACCTTTGTTAAGATGGCATTCATGCTGGATATAACTGCCAATTTAACTTTGAATTATTTATCTAAAACTACATTGTTTTATATACAGATTCCTCCTAGATTACACACATTTTGACTCGGTATAACCCAACACACTACTTATATCAGAATTAGACTGAACTTTAAATTTTGCATACTGTATACGTTTGTTTTAAAGGTTGGAGACTTGAATATTTTACAATTCTGTTAAGCTAAACTTTCCCATTATAAATTATACAAATTATGCATTACATATAGAAAGACTATATCCTCACACAAAGAGTTAAAAGAATGGGGAAATGTTATATATATAAAAAGAGGGTGTGTTTTATTTACAATTCTACCTACACAAAAGTCCATGATAAGACTGAATATTTGATTAATTCATCAACTACAAAAGTTTTGATAATGATTTGCATTCCTTCAATAGTTTGAAAGATTCATTATTTTTCTGTAGGAAAAGTTAGAGTTCAAAATCTGACTGACATCTGAGTAACATCTCAGGACTGACATCTGAGTAACATCTGAGGTCTGAGGACTGTCATCTTAGTAACATCTGAGGACTGACATCTGTGTAACATCTGAGGACTGACATCTGAGTAACGACTGAGGACTGACATCTTAGTAACATCTGAGGACTGACATCTGAGTAACATCTGAGGACTGACATCTTAGTAACATCTGAGGACTGACATCTGAGTAACGACTGAGGACTGACATCTTAGTAACATCTGAGGACTGACGTCTGAGTAACATCTGAGGACTGACATCTTAGTAACATCTGAGGACTGACATCTGAGTAACATCTGAGGACTGACATCTTAGTAACATCTGAGGACTGACATCTGAGTAACGACTGATGACTGACATCTGAGTAACATCTGAGGACTGACATCTGAGTAACGACTGATGACTGACATCTGAGTAACATCTGAGGACTGACATCTGAGTAACATCTGAGAACTAACATCTGAGAACTGACATCTGAGTAACATCTGATGACTGACATCAGAGAAATGTATCACTGATGTTTGAGGACGTAAATATATGATATATATTGCTGACACCTGCAAATGATGTTTGAGAATTATATCACTGACATCTGAGGACTGACATCGGAGAATTATATCACTGACATCTGAGGACTGACATCTGAGAATTATATCACTGACATCTGAGGACTGACATCTGAGAATTATATCACTGACATCTGAGGACTGACATCTGATATAAATACATGTATCACTGACATATGAGAAATGTTAATTACAGACACACGTCTAAAATGTGACACGATTTTTAATCTATACTACCAGAAGCGATTGTGAAATCTGATATCATGTAAGTTATACGTCAAAATATTACTATCTGATTTTGGAAATTTGTTCTTGAAAATAATGCATCTGGATACTTTTAATGTCTACCAAAGGTAGGTCTAGTTCTGTAAATGAGATGTTCCTATATACCGAATATGGATGTATCTAATGATTTTTGATTGAATGTTGTCTTACCTTAAGTACAGGTATAGTTTCCAGGTATGTTGTTTGTAAGAACAAGTATAAAATTTCCTGTACTGGTCCTTGTACTTACCTTATAAAATTTCATGTTGTACACCACGTTTAATTAACAATAAGCTCATGTCTGGTAATGACTTAGATCTGTTACTGTTTGGTAGATTTACTACAAAATGTTGTTGTATTGTAATAAGCCCACTCCAGACATCTTGGAGTCTAATGTAATGTGTTGGCCCTACTGCTTATAGCAGGATAAGAATAGTTTATCTGGCACCAAAACATCATTATTTGATAAGTTAACTTGTTACTAACGAAATTGGGAGTAAGTTTTACCTCTTATATTATTTATTTTTTTACAGAGCTACCACTTCTCCAAGCCATCAGGTTCATACCAGCTTGGTGCATAACATTAACTGCCCCTTTAAAATATATATTCATTATGTTTGTCTGATGTGTGATGTTTGTATCGCGTTGAGGACTGTCCCGTTATCCTACTGTATTTATTCGACAATAACCCTAAGAGTGGTAATATTCACAAATCAATGCTATGTCATTGTTCTGTAATAGACCCACCCCCTAACTTGATTTAGAAGTTGGCATGCTGGAGTTATTGTAGGATCAGTACAGTTATTAAAAAAAATTACTTTAACAACATTTTAAATAATACTTCAAATTCAGTAGCAAAATTTCTTATCTGGAAAGAAAAGGTTAAAAAATAATGCTGAAGCTCACTAAAAAGACGGGAAAAAAAATACGGTTTTGAAGTATAGGAAAGAGTTGCCTTCAATGATATATAGACTACCTACAGATACTACCGAAGCTAACAGTAGCACACGAAAATGTAAACGGCAGCAGATACTTCCTGGTTACGTTCCTTATATCAGTGTCACTACATATAGCTAGCCGAGTTTGACTATAGGAAAGCAGTTTAAAATCAGGTAAATAATCTTGGTTATTAAAATAATTAATTGCTTTTTTTTTGGAAGCTCCTCAGTTCAGAATTTTCCTAATCATCAGATGCATTCATGAAACAGGGGCTTGGTGTTTTTTTCTCTACAATTTTGGTGCTGGTATGACATTTTCAGTTTCAGATTGCCTAGTATGGTGTCTGAGCTTGTAAAAAATTTTAAACACACCCCAATTTTACTATCCCAATCTTTATAAATACTTACATCATTTTGTAACCCAAGTGAGGAGCTTAGCCAATGAAGCATGTTGTTTCAGAAAAATATTCCAAAAGACTTTTTTAAAATGTGGTTCATTGGCTGAGTGTTATTTTTTTCTAATTTAAATGAATGGTGATTACTTGTTACAAATTATGTACAATTTTTTATTTGATGAATTTACTGTTTTCCTCTGTCCTCATCTTTCTCGAGTTTTTTTTTTTTTATTTTATTTTTTTTTTTTTTTTTTGTTAAATTTTGTTTCATTCAGTAATCATCTTTGTATTGCTTTTTAACAAAAATATTTTGTGGAGAATTTTTTTTCATTAAATGTGGTATGATATAAAATATATATATTGTATTTAAACTTTTCTTATGTTGAAGAAACTAGTCTCAGATTAAGGTTTTAATTAAATATATTATAACATTTTAATTTGTAAATAAAAACAATTTTGAGCTTGTGACAACATCTAGTCTTTTCAACTGTTGAATAAATATTTTACAAAAACCTCATTATGTGTTTGCATTTTCATGGTTACTAAAAGTGGAGAATCTAGTTCCTGGTTTAGGGTAATTTTGAAGAAATTCAATGCTTTGTAACCCAGGTATAATGTTTACATGAATGGACATAAAAATATTGAATGATAATTGGTCTTGATCAGAAAAACTTTTGTCATTCTCAAAAAAAAAAGACATTCTGTATACAATCAACAACTCCGCTGACTGTGGAACTTAACAATCAAAATAAAAAACATTCTGTATACAACCAACAACCCTGCTGACTGAGGAACTTAACAATCAAAATAAAAAAAAACGACATTCTGTATACAACCAACAACTCTGCTGACTGAGGAACTTAACAATCAAAAAAAAAACATTCTGTATACAACCAACAACTCCACCGACTAAGGAACTTAACAATCAAAATAAAAATAGATATTCTGTATACAACCAACAACTCTGCTGACTGAGGAACTTAACA